GGGTCAGTAGAGGTGCAATCGTTGGTGTAGAGGGAGAAGAGCAGTGGGGAGAGGACATATCCCTGGGGGGCGCCAGTGCTGATGGTGCAGGTGCTGGATTTGAATTGACCAATTCTCACTAGCTGTTGTCTATCTGGCAGAAAGCTGCTGATCCACTGACAGATGGAGCTAGGAACAGAGAGTTGGGTTAGTTTGGTCTGGAGGAGTGTTGGGATGATGGTGTTGAAAGCCGAAATGAAGTCCACAAACAGGATCCTCACATAAGCCCCTGATTTGTCTAGATGTTGCAGGATAAAGTGCAGTCCCATGTTGACTGCATCATCCACAGACCTGTTTGCTCGGTAAGCAAACTGCAGGGGGTCCAGTAAGGGTCCAGTGATGTCCTTTAGATAAGTCTTTGAAACGACTTCATGAACACAGACGTTAAAGCCACAGGTCTGTAGTCATTAAGTCCTGTGATTTTGGGTTTCTTTGGAATGGAGATGATGGTGGAGCATTGAAGCAGGAAGGGACTTCGCACAGCTCCAGTGATCTGTTGAAGATCTGTGTGTAGATGGAGGCCAGCTGATCAGCACAGATTTCATTGCAGCATCCTTCACATTGATTCTCTCTACAGAATTGCATGAAGTTGACAATCTGTTTCTTTCCCCTCCGCAGCATTCAGCATTTTAAGAAGAGCATTAAATTCATGCACGAGTCCCGACTGAAAGGCGAGGGCTGTCTGGTTCACTGGTAAGTGAAGGGTTTGCACTGTACGTCCTCCAGCTATTGAATCAACACTGTAAATGATCCAATGTTAGGTATGCATATGATTGCATGCATGAATATATACGAGTCTACCTTAAGAGGAAGCAAAATGTGCACTCAACCCAGATACCAGCCCTAATCGAGCCCAGTGTGACCATGTGAACAGCTGATAACTAGGTGTCAAGGGGGGGTGGGCTATTTTTGAACTTCCCAAAACAACAGTAAACACGAGCCTCTGTTTGATGTGAGACTATAACACTGCTGCGGGCAACGCGGTTCATTCTCAAAAACATAATGAAGTCTGTAGTATTTCTCTGAAATCTTATGTTCTTGCGACTTCGAGTTGCACGACTAAGTTGCATGCATAGGGTTAGGAGCTCGTTTTTGATCACTGACCTACAGTATGAACAATCATAAGCAATCGCCTGTAATTATTCTAAAGGCAACCGGCCTGTTATGTTAAAATCACGTTAGTAAATTTGCTGAATGTGACATTTGATCTGATGTTCTCCAGTCTGGCTGGCGTGTCGCGTAGCGTGACGCTGGTGGTGGCGTATGTCATGACCGTCACGACTCTGGGATGGCAGGAGGCTCTGGCTGCGGTGAAGGTGGCGAGACCTTGTGCTTCACCCAACATGGGCTTCCAGAACCAGCTGCAGGAGTTTGAGAGCAGCCAGCTACAGCAGGTGATTCCTCCACCGTTTATGACTAAATTATTGTGGCTGTATCTTCACAAACCTGCCAACCAAATCAGCTGACCTGAAATTATGACAATGGGCCTTCTGATTAACCCTGTGAAGGCTGGTATATCAAATAATAGTCATTTTATAAAATGGAACACTTTAGACAATATATATATATATATTTTTTTTAATCTAAATTTGCATCAGGCTTTTCTGGCTTATATAGTCTCATATAGTTATTCAGAGACTCAAACTGAGCAAACATATGAATTTGCTGCAGATGCTGATATTTCTTCTATGATGAGATTCTGCTGCTTGTACTGTAAATCAGTGAGATCTTTCTAACAGTACAGCAGATACTAGCATAAAATTCTATAAATATCAGTGGTCGCTCTATATCTCCAGTAACATGTCTCAGTAAGATGAGATTGAAATGCTCCAAACATATAATGCAGTGATTGAGAGCTGAAGAAATAAAGGCTCCTCAGAAGATGTGAGATGTTCTGGAGGCTTGTGAAGATCATTCCTCCGCTGAGGAACAGTGAAAGTAAAGCTTCTGGAAACAAACGCTCCTCAAAAGATCCTGAGGATCAGATTTGAGACTCTAAAACATGATTGATGGAGAATCAAGTGAAGCTGAGCTGCTTCAGTCCAGTAAGTGTTCATCTGGAGATATTACTGCAGTTATTCTGACCTTTACTTGATCAAAACCAGTCAAGATTTGACACGAGAAGCTCCAGCTGAAGCAGTTACACTAAAAGAGCTTTGACTGGATAAACACTTTAAACTCTCAATCAGAGACAGAATGCATGCAGTAGATTGAGTCTGAAACAGTTTTTATTAACAAGTTAATCATGTTGATAAATTAGAGGCCTTAAAAATGTGTGTATCAAATATGAGACAGTAGGCTTTATAGGGTTAATATGTTTGTGTAAATGCGTGATCCAGATTCATGCATTCATTCGTAATTGTGGATTTGTGTTCAGTTCAGAGAGTGGCTGAAGGAGGAGTATAAGGAAAACCCCTTTAATGATGAGGAGGACGTTCATAACCTGCTGGCGCAGATTCCCAGCTCCTCCGCGCCGGAGGACGAGGACTTTGAGTTCAACTGAGAGATCGCACAGACCATTCCTGACGTCTGGGATGAGTGTTTGATATGGCACAGCACTGTTTATTAACTTATGCACACTTTTTGTAAATAAGACATATTCAAGGTTTTACTGTTGTTTACTACTGATGCGATGTTAAAGGGAAATTTGCATTTTGTTGTTCAGTCTTTACAGTTATATTATAAAAATTGATTTATACTACTATGGTCTCTGACTTTCTGCTTTTATATTTGAGATAAAATGATTATTGCACCCTATTCCGCCCCCTTTCCAGCGCTTTTGCTCCTCCATAAAAGCCCAATTTCACGTGCAAATCCGTAAAATCATGTTAACGTGACGTGCTTGATTTATTCATGTTTTAAAAGCGTGAAAGAGGACTTGCGCTGTTCCTCAGGAGGATTTCTGTGCATGTGCTCAGAGACGGAACAGAAAACGGACAATAAAGTCATCTTTTAGCTTAAGGTGAGCCTAAACGCACAAATACATGCAAAAATGTGTCAAAATGCGGCGCTTGGTGATTATTCACATAAACCCTCATCGGTTATGTAATATATGAACATAAACAGTTGAGAATGAAAATACGTATAGCAGTAAATTGGATCCGTGCAGCTCTTAAACTGACAGCAGCCTAATATTCCTGCTGCCGACTGTGTGCTTAACATTAAATCAAACAACAAAAGAGAAAAAGGACTTTTGTAGCTTTAATAAGAAACAAAATAAGTTTAATTCTTACAGTGACGACTATGCTGTTTTATTTTACATTCAATTATTAATTATTTCTGTTTGTTCCATTTGTATTTTTTTTCTATTGTATTTGTCCTTTGCTTTTTTTTTCAGACTGCTTAATTATTTACAATAATTTTTTAGGCCTTTTTTAAAAAAATTTTTTTTTACTAATATTAGTTCCCTTTCATGGGAACTTCGAACTGCGTCCTCTAGGGGTCGCTATGGGGAACGCCTCGTCGTGACCCGTGTCTGAAGCATACATAGAAAAACACCAACTCGTTGGCCGGCGACAGCCATGACGTCACTACCGGTGCGATTCTATGTATGCTTCAGACACGGGTCACGACGAGGCGTTCCCCATAGCGACCCCTAGAGGACGCAGTGTCTCCTTCCCTACTCAGGGAACCATGGTTACATAAGTAACCTGAGACGTTACCCTAGTATTTGTATTGAGAATTGTGAAATTTCTCTGAATTCTCTAAATCTGAAATCTCTAAATGTCTCTAAAATGTAGATGTCATAGCAATCTTATTTACAGAAAAAAAAACCAAAAAAACCAAAAACAAATATATATATATATATATATATATATGCATATACTGACCAGCCCTATTTCATAGTACGCAAAAAAAAAATAAAAAAAAAATTATTAGTTAATAGTCAATGGCTACCAGCAACTGTTTGGTTACCAACATTCTTCAAAATATGTTCTTTTGTGTTCAACAGCAGAAAGAAACACATACAGGTTTAGAACAACCTAAGGATGAGTAAATAATGACAGAAATTTCATTTTTGGTTGAAATATCCCTTTAGCACTTGCTGGATCAGCCGAGGACCTGTTTTAATGTCAAAGTAACATAAAGAAAGAATGGAAATGTTTAGTTTGAAAAATAAGATAATATGGTAATTCCACTGTTATTTCTCGGTCGGACAGCAGGGGGCAGCAGATTCAACACTGTTGAACTCGAAACAGATTGGTAACAGATTTGAAGTTACTTGATATCAAATACTTGACGAGTTCATGTTTAAGCAATTTGCTGATATTATTCTGGGGGATAAACGGACCCCGAGAAGCTCTGTGAAGTTTCAAAACACGTAAGACACAATGACTTTGACACTGGCCCCTTCTGATGGGAATAAGCGAGTGGCCCCCGTGCGGTTCTGCGCTCGGCGGCTGTGAATGTCCTCAAAGCAAACAAACCTACATCAACAAACATCAAACACCAGGATCACTGTGATGACGAGCGCCGGGAGATTTTCTGGCATATTTTATCGACAGATATTTGTTCCACCGTGTGTGTGTTTGTGCGTCTCGCAGGGATTTCCCGTATGCTGATTTTATTCTTGCGGTTCTGTCGCGTTTCTCTGAAGTCTTCAGCTCTTTTTAATGGTGCTGGAGAAAGACGCTTCCACGTAACGCTCCACCCATCTCTCCACCTAACGCGCTTTTCATTATTTAAGAATAGAAGCACCGTCCTCTGACATGACTTGAGAAGTGTCGGCTTTGAAAGAGAAGTCAACTTGTCTGCATTCACAAAGGTAAGACTTGAGAGCCTTGATCTGGTGTGACATTCAACTGAGCTGAATATGACTTGATTTAAACAAACTAATTATTATAAGCATGCAGCTTAATTATTAGAAAAAGCTTATGTTTCATGCATGATAAGCTACGGATGCCCTACTATCTATATTTTGTTCCTTTTACAAAATGCGGCTGTTAATAAACTACATTTAAATTGCATGTAAAGCTTCAGTCTTTGAACGCATACTTTTCATGCAACATTTTCTGTCGTTTGAGAGCACGTTATAAATGTGTGTGTTATTGCGGAATATGCATGCATGAACTCATCTGAATCGCTCTTCTGCTCACTGCATGTGCACCTGCTCTCGCATGCCTCCCTCCCTCACAGACATGAACTTAGATGGGGACAGCAGCATGCCAGTCAGTTGTGGGAATGGCAAACTTAGACAGTGGCTCATCGATCAGATTGACAGCGGGGAGTATTCCGGCTTGGTTTGGGAAAATGACGAAAAAACCATTTTCAGGATTCCCTGGAAGCACGCGGGGAAACAGGACTACAACCGCGACGAGGACGCGGCGCTCTTCAAGGTGATTGAGGATGAAGCTTGGACCTCTGATGACTTTTTCAATGATGGAGTGTCTTTAGACGTGTATTGTGGCCCCAGAAAGCATTAGGACTCGTAAAAATGTCGTGTTATAAAACTAAGTGCCTTTATTTAAATAAACTAAGCACGCTTTTGAAGCTAGACGTTTGACGAAACTGATCAAACAATAGATCTAGTGTTGAAAATGAAGACAGAAGTGGTTGCAAAATATGAGTGGATAATGCCATAGTTATTATACTGAGCCACACTTGTGGTTCCTCTGTCAGACACCTGTGTGAACTTGACTTCATCCACTTAAAGTCGCCGAAATGCCAACTGATTCAGAGTAAAATGAGAACGAAGCGCAGTTTGTTCCGAGAAAAATTAGTTTGCAGCCACGTGGTTTGATATTTTGTTTTCTGATGCGATGACATTCACGCACCTCTTAAGTTTCCAAATACGTTTTGGGGCAACTGTATGAATGCATATGAATTATTATTCAAGTTAATACATTAAGGCACATTTTTCATATAGGCTACTGTAATCATATACTGTAGGATAAATTATTAAGAGTAATTTCATATCAGAGAAAATGCATTAGTGTTGTGCTGAGCTGAAAAAGACCATTGCATGTTAATAGATTGGTAACAAAAGCAATGATAGTTCACATTGAACAGTATTTTATTAATTACATAATAGCACACTTATTAACAATAATCATATTATTATTATCATTATTAATAAGAATCATAGTGCGCATCCATTTTGACATCCTTTAATGCATTAGTATACAGTATGCCTGTATTCTGAGCTCCTACCTGTTGAGAGCCAGTTCTTCTGCTTCCTCTCTCACTCTTCATCTCTTCTCATCTTCACGCTGGTGTTGTGGTTTGTAGGCTTGGGCCCTGTTTAAAGGCAAGCACAGAGAAGGCTTGGACAAACCAGACCCTCCAACATGGAAGACGAGGCTCCGCTGTGCCCTGAACAAGAGCAATGACTTTGATGAGCTGGTGGAGAGAAGCCAGCTGGACATCTCGGATCCTTACAAGGTCTACAGGATAATACCAGAAGCAGCCAAGAGAGGTAATGTCCATTTTTGGATAGCGTAGCAATGAATAGCAACGAGCGAAATGCATTTAAATATATTAAAACATGCATAAGGTCTTTTGGAGCTGTGCATTGGTTAACTTCTAATCCACAAATATACATTTGTTAGGAAGTCACGCCTTGAAAGGGTGCGGTTTTTGCTCTAGGTTTGATGCATTGCATCATTCCAGCTCTTACTGAAAAGTAAGCGCACAAAAGAGCTGTAAACAGAGCTAATTTGCTACACAGAGGTGGAGGCATGCTATGCATTCACATTAAATATTGCTACTTGCCCTCAGTATGTGTAGCAGGAAGCTAAGAGGAAGCCACTACATGTGCTAAAATCCCTCAAGCTTTTTATAGAGAGCTCCGGTTACCAAGTGCACAGCAGTAAAGCGACACAAATCACCCATCAGACCTTGCATAAGACGAGCTTGTGCTTCGAGATGCTGGGCCAAGGCCATGAAGACCTCTGGTGTGACCCTAAAGCGTTCACGACTTTCAGTAATTTCATAAAAATGACATGAATAGTAGTTTCACACCTTAATATAGTTGCTATTATTTGTGCTTGTGAACTACCTGTGAAGTGGAGGCAAGAACTGAGCTGTAAGCGAACGAATGAGTGCATTTTTTGTAGCCAGTGTCTTTTAGTTTCGAGGATAAAGTAGATGTAGACACTAAAATGTACAGAAAACTGACCAAAAATATTGATCGCTCACCTTGGACTGACTTTTGACCAAAATCAAATGCTCTCAAGAATGGAAATGTCCTCCCACCTGCCTCTGATAGCTAATAGCTAATCGTGACTGTGGTGTAAACTATTTTGTCGGCTATTTGTAAAAATGACGAACTGTTCGATATGTCCAGCCTCAGCTTCTTTTAACAAAATAAATACATCAGCAAAGGAAGGAAAAGTGCACTCGTCAAGTCATGGGCTCTTTTAACACTCTCATCATGGCAGTTCGTAACTATTTGACGTCTTGGTGAATGGGCGGTGAATTCGTACGATCTCATTCGTATGTTTTCATGCGATCTGCTGAGGGTCAGATTAGGGCTGGACCTTCATGCTTAATGTTTTTCTACAAATAGTATGTTTCCATACAAATCAAATCGTACAAATTCATATAAAATCGCCAACTCTTAGAATAGTTGCGTTTTCTCGTGAGATCAGGTTTGCTCTTTAGCAGCTTTAAGTCTTAAACTTAAACTTAAAATACAATTATCAATTATTGGCTACAATTATCATTAACCAAATGCTCAAATAGTGTGGATATGTATTTATTTATTTAAATTTTTTTGCATGCTTTGCAGCCAGAGATTCATAAATATTATTGTGCAGTTATATATGTACAGTGGGTACGGAAAGTATTCAGACCCCCTTAAATTTTTCACTCTTTGTTATATTGCAGCCATTTGCTAAAATGTATGAATATATTTTTGTTTTTGTATTTTAGGCTCTAAGTCCAGCAGTATGGATGACAGCGTGGCTCACGTGGCTCCTATTAGTTATCCTATGCATTCCCCATATCCTCCTCTACAGCCTCAGGTGAGATGTGTTCCCTTTGCGGTGTCACATTATTATTATTTTTTTTACAAAATATTAATTTCCATGGGAGACGTCCAATTAGCACTGCATTTATATCTAGTACTTTTACATTTACTGCTTGTTCCTAGCAGATGCTTTCAATGTGAAACAGTGTTATTGTAGTATCAAGATACTTTTATAGTTGTTATTAATATTTTTAATTAGTTTTTATTTTTATATTTTCTGTTATCATTTTTATTTTGGTTAAAGTTTTTGTAATGTTGCGTGTTTTTGTTGTTTTATTAGGTTTTTATATGCCAATATAGTTATTTTTGTTTTGTTTTTACTATATAAATACTATTTTAAAGTTAAACAAGTTATATATTTAGTGCATCAAATTGTATATATATATATATATGTATATGTATACACACAATATATATAGCAGTTCTATTTTAGTTTTTTTTAAATTATCTATGATTAATTTTTGTTTTTATATTTTTTGTTTTTGTAATTTTTTAAAATTTAGTTAAAGTTTTAGTAATTGTTTTGTATTCATTTTTATTACGTTTTAGTTATAGTTATTTAAGTGCATCAAGTAAAACAAAACGAAAATTAGTAACTTTGCCTTGGCAACCAGGTGAGATAAAATTGCATTTTATTTTAATGAAAGTTTTTCAAATATAAATGTAATTTTAGTTCTAGTTTCAGTTAACTTTACTAAAGGTGTGCAATCAGCCTGGCTGAAAAGATCAGCTAGTGCAGGCTGGTTTATTACTGATCTGGTGAACCAGCACAGCCATATGAAACCTGACTGGTGAAGCAGGTTAACCGAGTGAATCTTGTTGGTTATGCTAGTTAGGAACTCTAATGTGCGCTCCAGCCTACTGGAGCTGGAGCTGTTCTTCTTCTCTGGAAGGTCAGTGATAAAGTCCAGTCTCAGAACCCGTCTGTTGTCTCTGTGCAGATGCCGGGATACATGCTGCCTCAGGAGAGACGAGACTGGAGGGAATACAGCGGCGATCAGCCTCATCCTCAGGCTCCTCACGCAGAGTTACCGTATGGCCAGTGTCCGTATCCACCCACGCGCTCCTTACCCTGGCACCCATCGGCCTGTGACAACGGTACCTGCTTCCAGCGTCTCCAATAATGCACAGTGCCCCGTTCTGAGAGCACAGCATTCGATTCATGCCATTCTCTCACATTTGGCAAACAACTACGTATCTTAAGCAGTGCTGGGGAAAGTTACTTTTAAAAGTAATGCATTACAATATTCGTCTGTTGTCTCTGTGCAGATGCCGGGATACATGCTGCCTCAGGAGAGACGAGACTGGAGGGAATACAGCGGCGATCAGCCTCATCCTCAGGCTCCTCACGCGGAGTTACCGTATGGCCAGTGTCCGTATCCACCCACGCGCTCCTTACCCTGGCACCCATCGGCCTGTGACAACGGTACCTGCTTCCAGCGTCTCCAATAATGCACAGTGCCCCGTTCTGAGAGCACAGCATTCGATTCATGCCATTCTCTCACATTTGGCAAACAACTACGTATCTTAAGCAGTGCTGGGGAAAGTTACTTTTAAAAGTAATGCATTACAATATTACCTAACTCCATAAAAAAGTAACTAATTGCGTTACTTTTTACGGAATGTTACTTTTGCGTTACTTTTTGTCACCTGGGCTGGGCTTGCTTGTTTGTTTTTAATAACAAAAACCCAAAGGTTATATTTTTGGCAACTGTAAAGACCCTTTCACACCGAAAGTGAAATGAATGAGCCTCAGGCTGAAGGATGAGTCTCTGTCTCTGCACTCACTCCCGATTTCTCTCAACACGGGACAGGAGGGCTGTCAGTCAATAAATGGGAGAATAAAGTAACTTAAAACGATTACAGGCCATATTTAAAGGTTGTGTACCATATTTAGCGTATTATTTTCAGAGAAGCTAGAGCTATTCTTGGCCATAGATGCTCTCACTTGATTGAGAAGAGCGTTTATCAAAGGCGAGCAACATTAGCCGACTTTAAACAGAAAGAGGAAATCCTTCATTTCTGTATTAATGCTTGTGTATTAATGGCACTTCTCACTCTGTAAAAGAGCAAACTCAAGGGGTACCAATGAATATGCGTCACAGAACATACAGTACTTTGTTCTGCTGACATCTAGTCGCTTTATTAACTTTTGCTAAATATAAGTAAAAACGAAATGGCAAAAGTTTTCTATCTGGGTTTCTGGGTTAGACCTGGGTCTGGATTTAGTCCTGAAGTGGTCTGCCGGTCCAGTCGTGGTCTGGGTCTGGTCTCGATTCTGACTCTTGCAATGATAGAAGTGGAAAGACAATTATTTTATTTTACTATAGGCTTCTTTGTCACGTTGCATTTTTAATTTTGAGGGTAGTAAAATAATCCATTTTAATGCATCTACACTTTCCAGGGTATCAGATATCTGGCTCCTTCTACACATATTCACCGACAGAAACCCATCCAGTGGCAATGGACCCCGGTATAAGATCGGCCGAAGCCATGGCTGTTTCAGGTACATGAACACGACTCACGCACACGGCTGCCACAGTTATATTAGCATCATTGAGATACTATTATAATTTTTATTCATATTTTTAGATTTCCCATTTTTATGTTCATTTGAGTTCGTTTTAGTCATTTTCTTGTCTGTTTTTGTCTAATTTATTTTTAAATGAGTCTATTTTGTTTATATTAATTTTCCATTTTAGTTTTTACATTTCTATTTCCGATTTAGTTATCACATTAAGATAAACTAAATGAAAATGAGAAATGTTGCATTGGCGGCTAGATTGAGATTTTTTTCAAGTAACATTTATTTCATATGAAGTAAGTTTTTATGGTTTTAGTTTTAGTTAACTGTAATAACCCTGACGGTTGCTATAAACCTTGGCATGTAACATGTGCACCACGGACATGAATGAAGTAACTATTGTGAAGTGTTGAGTGTAATGCATTACAAAGTATTTAATTACTGTCATTTAATTACATTTCTCTCGAAAAAGTAAAGTAAGGGATTACTTCTAATTTGTCCTGTAACTGAATTAGTTCTGATGTAATTGCATTAAATACTGTACAGACTATAGAACGATTCTATATAAAACAGTGGATTGAACATCAACATTTCATATCTGATGTTAAAATGAATGATTTTAATGCAACCCTCTCCCTTTAAATACTTTGATCAGTTGAATAATAAATCTTGCAATTTTTTATTGTTTATTTAATAGCATGAAACGAGCCGTTTCATGTCTATCCTTGTATTATTCAACTGTAATTAGTAATAAGTAATACAACACTTTTTAGAGAGAGTAATGAGAACAGTAATCTAATTACACTGCTGAAGAAGTAATATATGTGACATCAAGTAAAAAAAAAATGATATTCTGAAATGCTGTTTTCTGTTCTCTGGCGCACAGACTGCCGCCTGCACGTCTCTCTGTACTATCGCGAGTCTCTGGTGAAGGAGGTGACCACCAGCAGCCCTGAAGGCTGTCGAATCTCCTCCTCTTCGTCTCCAGGATCCCCCTCGTCCCCTATTTCAGTCCAAGAAAATACATTAATATATGTCACATTTGAAGAAAAACTTTATTTGTTGTCTATAACGCATATAAAACATTTTAATAAAATTCAGCAGTTTACAAAAAAAAGCAACAACACAATATATATATATATATATATATATAACATTTTAACAAAATCATTATTAACCTAGATTTGATATAGGCTAATTCCATCCACATTTGCATTAATTTTGAAATACATTTTGGTATATAAATGTTAAAACTACATATATCTTAAATTTCAGAAATATATTTAATTGAGCTTCACATGTATATTTTGTCCTATGGGTTAGATTAACCTCGTGTGATTGTTTGCGTTGGAGATGATTGAGATGCTTCCACAGATCTAGACTTATTTATGAAATGAATTTCAGTGTGAATCCTTCATGAAACCGTCGGGATTCATGCACGAGTCACGTTTATCTTTGTAAATAGTTCATAAAACTATTCTTATCTAAGCTGACACATTCAGTTGAATAGAATTCAGCTAATATGTGAATGATTCACAGTCTCTTTGATTTGATTCACTCGATGAATGAACTTTATCAGCTGTAGACACACTATAGAAGTGTTTTGTATTCAGCTCTTTTGTGGAATGAGGGAAAGGCCTGTCCTTTCACCTGCGAGCACATGAAAGCTTCTTCATTAAGCTGTGTGTGTGGTTTCTACGTGTCACAGCTCTGTCTCTAATGTCTCACGTTGTGGGATTTTCCAGCGAGCTCCTGACCCTCTGATCACACACACGAACACACTCTCCATCCGTCTGCACCTGCTAAAGTTCATTTGCATTTCAGCTGTCTGCTAGTCATCAGTTTATGAGGGGTCTTGTGCTCACATTATTGCTCATCGGGAGTTTTTTTTGTCTTTGATGGGAAGAGTAATGACAGTAAAGATTGGGGTTTGACATTAAAGCCCATCAGAGATTTTAAACACTTTTGTACCACTTTATCTTTAGAATTATGAATCAAATAAAAATCTGCCAGTACTATTATAGAAATAACATCAAACACAAATGCAAATCTCATTCTCAGAATAATTATGATCTGTTGTTTAAATGAAATTATTTAATTAATGCAAAAGCATTTATACATTATGATTGCCTTTTATACTAAATACAAACATTTATTGCCATAGTAAAAATATGATGAGAACCATTGATAAATAATTACAAAAAGTAAATGCATTGAGAACTTGCATTGCAATTTTGAGGGAAAAATGTGCTTATTTGGCATGAAAAACAAAAAGTGATGCAAAATGATCCTAAAAGTCTTAATTTTCTTATATTTCTTATATTACTTATATTTCTCTATTGTAGTTTGAATTATTATGATCTATTATTTAAATGAAATTATTTAAGTGCATTGTATTTAATGCAAAAGCATTCATGCATCATGATTGTTGTAGGTGTACTGCCTACTGAATTCATACCAAGTACAAACATTTATTGTCATAGTAAAAATATAATGAGAACCATTGATAAATAATTACAAAAAGTAAATGCATTGAGAATTTGCATTGAATTTGCATTTATTGAGGAACAAAATGTGCTTATTTGGCATGAAAAACAAAAAGTGATGCAAAATGATCCTAAAAGGATTAATTTTCTTCATGCAAAATATTTTTTCTTGTTTTGATCAGTTTACTTTGGGGTAAACATTTTTGTTGTTGTTGTCAGTTTCATACCCTATAATAAAATGCAACTTTATTATCACTTGTTATTTATTATTATGCATTGTTTATCTCGCTGTAGAATTGCAGGGCTTCGTTCACCACGGCCGTCCCATGCCGCGCTCTCAGGTGGTGCTGTGTTTCGGAGACGAGTTTCCGGACCCTCAACGGCAGAGCAAAATGATCACAGCTCAGGTAAAATCAGCCTCTCCACGGTTTGACACATCATTTATATCATTATAACGTTAATGCACTAGCATGAACTCAGCATTTCTATATTCAGATATGCATCACATATAGTGGGCTGTTCAGTGCAGTAATCCATTACGACAAGTTCACCAGCAGGGAAATGTGAGTGGTGTGTCTCAACGTGTTTGTCTGCTTTCGCAGGTGGAGCCCATGTTTGCCCGACAGCTCCTGTATTTTGCAGGCCAGACCAATGGGCACTACCTGCGCGGATATGAGCTTCAGAGTCCAGGTGCTTTACCTGTAGAAGAGTATCAGAGAAGCATCCAGCACTTGCAGGAGTAACAGTCTTCACATGAAACCAGCTGCGATACTGCAAAGCCCAGCCGCTCGTACAGACAGAGGAGACTAATGAAAGCCAATGGAGGTTCATTGACATCGTAATGAAGACTTGAAATCGTATAGCGATTGCCTGACCAAGTGCACACTTTCACATCCCAAAAGCTACAAACATCCAGCTCTTCGGACACCGTACAGTATTGGATGCTGTCATTTTTTAATGAAATTCTTCAAAGTTTCAGGTGAATTATGTCTCATTAAGTTCAAAAGTCTGAGAACACATGGAAAAAAATGTGTTTATGTTTTATTTTTTTGTTTATGTCAGCTTCTTTGCTGCTGTCATGAAAGCAAAACACATGCTAAAACATTGTCAGATTGAGTTCATTTCAATTCAGCGTTTCACTCAAATCCTGCTGATAATATAATTTGTAGTGACAAAGGTTGTGTTAAATTAGAAAAGAATGCAAATTATAAGTTTCATATGGACATTTCAGAAAGAAGCCAACCAAAAATAAAACTATTTTTCTCATAACATTTAGTAATTGTTTGATAGTGGGTCAAATATTTTTGATAAGTTGATGTATAGTTGCATAGATTTTCTTTTACCGGTCTGTACTGCTTCTGCTTTTCTAACACAATTCTCTATTTTTCTCATTGTTTTTAACTCGGCACCGTGTAAGTATTTATAATGCATGCATGTAGGTTTCTATATGCACAGCAGAATGTACTGTATAGCTGTATAGATATCTTGAATGTAATCAAAGTAATTATTTCTCTGAATGGCATCTGACAAGAAGTTATATAATGCTAAATACTAAGAAAGAGTTTGTGGTTGTGTGTGTGTGTGATTGTTATCTGCCTACAAGTAAAGATGTAAGTCACAAATATAATCATGACAAAATCTGCTTCTCCCCTATTTGTGTGTGAGGTAACTGCCCACAAAACTGTGATGATGTCAGATTTGTGAATGAAAGAGGCATGAAGAGAAAGACTTTTTCAAATTTCTTGTTTCCCCCTCTGTCTCAGAACTGTTTTTATTGTATTTTGTGTTGTTTTGTCTATTTTATTTCAAATCTGGACATTTTTTTAAAGTCAATTAAAGATATATTTTTTAATGATCCTGGTTTTGTCCTGTGTATTGTTTGCTTCTGCTTGGCTTTCAGAATTTGGCAGATTTTTATGCGCATTGACAGTTATATTTGCATGAACGGACTAATTCAGGAACATGACTAAATCAACTTGAGTTCATTGGGTTAAAAGAACAAGTCATTTTGGCTCCATCAGTAGCAACAAAAAGAACTACAACAATAACTGTTTTCTAACCAGTTTCCCAACCACTGCCATTGGTCAGGCAAGCCGATGGTCCCGCCCCCTAAATCACGCCATTGGTCGAGTCAGTGTTGTTGTGATCAGGGTGCTTAAACAAACAGCAGAGCGTTTCCGAACAACGACGTCACTTGCCGCTTTACTACCTCAGTACAATGCAGTGGTCAATTACAAGGGAATAATACAGCTGATAAACATGTCCTTATACGCCAATTAGCTGACGACACTACCCTGTTTTTAAAAAAATGATTTACAGATTCCTCTTGATCTTATTAACGTGTTCTCTAAAGCTTCTGGTCTATCTTTGAATTTAGATAAATGTGAGCTTCTTCCTATAAAGTCTTGCTCTGCCCCATTCTTATACAATACTCCTGTTAAGTCCCAAGTAAACTATTTAAGTGCACTCAGCTGATTCTTTAACCTCTTGTATTTCTTGGACACATGCCTGTGAAACAGCAATAGGGAAGATTTGCTTTTTGTCCAGGAATAGAAAGATTAGGCAGCTCTTCCAGAAAGATATAATTACTGTTCCTTCTGTAATATCTTACTGGAGTAATTCTTTTGAAGACATTCCTTGGAAGAAAGTGTGGTCCTTACCTAATAAATATCTAATTACTAATAAGGTTAAAGAGATGTCTTTTACACTGTTTTTACCCTGTCAATCTTTATCTTAAAAAAATGTTTCCTGAGATGCATCCTGCTCCTTTTGCGGCGTGGAAGATGCGTCTGTTCATCATCTTTTTCGGGACTGTGTCCATGTTGCTACCTTTTGGAAGAAATTCTGTATATTTGCACGTGTTTCCATCTTAGACTATTTTACTTTGGTGTTTAAGGATGTATTATTTGGTTTTTATAACTCTCAGAAGAATTTAAAAGACAAGTATTTTCTAAGAAATCTATTTATATTCCTAGCTAAGTTTTTTTATAAATAAATGCAAGCCTCAATTTTTTATTTTCTGTAAATGTTATTTGGATACTATATCCTCTTCCAGCAATCTCAAAGCTTTAAAATCCTATACGTTGTGCACAAAGTATAATATTTATGTTTTTTTTATAATGTGCTATTGGCGAGTTTTTTTTTTTCCTTTTTTTATTTTATTTATTATATTGGATTCAGAAAATACCAACTTTGTTGGTGACAATAAACCTTGTGACCATACTGTAACTGGCTAGCGATGCTTTTGGGAAATGCATGTTTTGATAGCACCATGCTAGTGTGACCTGCTTAAATTTCATGCATGAAATTAATTTCTTGACATAAAATGCTGTATTTCAAAACACTTACAACAATGGCATGCTTCTGTCGCGGGTGACAATAAGCCATAGACATTTACTGGACATTTACTGACTTTAGCTGGAAAAATGACTCTGTTATTGTCTTCTTGCATTATTAACAAACTATTTTCCTGTTCAACACTGTAAAGCTGCTTTGACACAATCAGTACTGTATAAAGCGCTATAGAAATCAAGGTGACTTGACTTGATAGCATAGTTTGTGTTACATTTCAGGCGCCGTTCTTGTCGTCATGGTTGAACCAAGATAAGTGATCTTTTCCACATCATCGAGAACTACATTTTTAAGCTGAAGATGATGTGTGTTGTGTTGGCAGCAAGTGTCTTTTCGCTCACCGTTTTTTCAAGCTGAGCCCAAAAACATCCCGAGCAGAATCTGCAGCTGCTCTGGTGAAGATGCACATAATGCAGCAGCGTCTGCATACAGCAGTTCTCTGACGACAAACTCTTTTTGTTCATGCTCTGAAACGGGATCTTGGGTGGCACCAAGCTATCTCCCAGGAAAAATAGTATTAGTAATACAGAGATTGTTTCTGCAGCAGAGCTCGAGTAGCCGTTGACCATTCTCATTCATTCGCCCCACCCCAAAATATTATGATCATCCCCAACTCTGGCATTCATATCGCCCAACAAGACTGTCCGTTCAGCTTCAGGAGATGGCCTGAGAAACATTTCTAGTTGTCCATAGAACTGATCTTTGTCTGCTGGTTCTGATTTAAGTGTTGGTGTGCAGGCTAATATCACAACAATACAACCTTGTCTGGTGTTAAGTCTAAAGAAAGATATGCTGTCACTAATTGCAGTTTGTATACTGCTGATTAAGTAGTTACATTTTGCGAACAAAATAATAATTCCGTCAATTAATTTAATATTTCATCCACAAAAGGGAATCACGAAATGCATTTTTGTGAGCTAAACTTTGTGTTTGCACAAAATGATGTTTCAGTAGACAAACCAAGCCTGGCTTTTGTCTTTCTGTGTACAAGTAAAGCATAACAGCATTTTGTGTCACAAAATTTATTTTCTTCCATAAAAAATTAGGCAGGTCACACTTGGCGAAACCATATAGTGTGTATGGTTGTGTTTTGATACCGCAGGTGTGTATACGTGTTGTGCTGCTGTCTAGCTGGCTTTTAGTTACGCTTGAGCGAGAGCAGAGTGGTTTTAGGGGACAGTGTGAGTGCAGAGAGAAAGACACAGGAAGCTCGATTCACAGGTGCACAGGAAGACTAGCCCACAAGAAAAACAATGAGACGAAGAGAAGCGGGTGGGGGGCTGCAGGGGCTCTGCACATTTCAGATATCTGTTCTACTGGATTACTACACGAACATATGCAGTACAAATTCATCTGCACCTTTCTGTAGTGTGCATCAACATAATTTGCTAATGCTTTCAATTGTTTTGTTTTTTTCTGATATGAGCCATGTACTTTAACCGTTCACATTTAAAATATACAATTGCTGTATTAAATGAAACCGGTCCAGATTACTTTCTTAATAAACACTCATCACTTTATTGTGAATGATCAACACAGTGCCAGCACAGTTCGTAATGAATTCGTACAGCCGGCTCTCTGGTTTAGGGATGCACTGTAAAAAAAAATCTGCACAATGTACTGTATGAAGGAATTTTCTGTATTGATTTTTAACAGGTATTTTACCTGTAGTTGGAATTTTGCACTTAATTGTGGTGTGTTATATGGTTAACAGAAATGCCCATAAAATAATTGATAATGTACTGCCATAAAATTACCAGTACATTTTCACTTGTTTTTTTTTTGTGGAACTTCATACTTACATTTTTCATGCAAATTGTACATTTTCATACAAATCATCTCTTATGAAATTGTACAGAATTGCATTAAAAAATGTTTTCCTGGTGTTTATACACACACACACACACACACACACACACTCACACACACACACACACACACACACACACACACACACACACACACACACACACACACACACACACACAATATTCATTATCACATATCGAAAATGGAACTGTTTTTGTCCATGCAATAAAAGGCAATGACATCTAAATCAACTTTTTTAAATCAAAGTTTTTCACTGTATTGAAAAAAAAAAAGCATTTTAAAAATATTTTATTTTTTGTTCCACAGAGTAAGTCAAAAAGATTTTAAATGACATGATGGTTTACTTACAGAATTGTAATGACATTATAATGACAGATTACAATATGATGTAATTATATGAATTATATGACAGCATTATAATTTTGAATGAACTATTCCTTTAAATGCTTCATTAAAAATAATCATTAATTATTTTAATTTTCAACTTTAATTATTTATTTATTTTCCTCCTCACTTACTAAAGTGGTAGTTTTAAGATAATTCCTTTAAAGGAATAGTTCACCCAAAATTGAAATTTGCTGAAAAATTACACTCAGGCCATCCAAGATGTAGATAAGTTGTTTCTTCATTGGAACAGATTTTTCAGAAATTTAGCATTACATCATTTGCTCACCAAGATCCTCTGCAGTGAAAGAATGCCATCAGATTGACAGCTGATAAAAGCATCATAATAATACACAAGTAATTAACGTCTTGTGATAAAAATAAACAAATCCATCATTAAGATGTTTTTAACTTCAAACCGTTGTTTCAAGTCCTCTATCCATAAAATTGCTTTCTCCAGTGAAAAAGTTGTCTTGTGTGAATCAGAAGAGTAATATGCACAGATCAAGCAACGTTTACAAGCATAAACCATCCAAAACAGTTCTAAACAAATATGTTGGTAATGTGAGAGGACAACAGTGGATGGACTTTTTCACTGGAGGAAGTGTTATTATGGATTTTGCACTCGCATTTTGGCCAGAAGCAACAGTTTAAAGTTAAAACACCTTTAATGATGGATTTGTTTCTTACAAACATGCAGCTTTTCACTTCATAAGATGTTAAGTAATTGACATGACTCCAGTCCATTAATTGTGTATTATTGTGATGTTTTTATCAGCTGTTTTGACTGTCATTCTGACGGCAACCATTCACTGCAGAGGATCCATTGTGAGCAAGTGATGCAATGCTAAATGTCTCCAAATCTGTTCTGATAAAGACACAAATTCTACATATTGGATGGCCTGAGGGTGCGTACATTTTCAGCAGATTTTCATTTTTCAGTGAACTATTCCTTAAACAGCTGCAATTGTTAATATCGCAAGGTCATTATGTCATGTAATTGGCCATGTGTTATTTAATTTAATACTCAGTTCTTGGAGTCAGTCAAGACAGTTGTAATGTCTGATTCATGTCTCTCTTTCTCTCTAGTCA